TAAGTGTTCTTACTTAGTGGAGAAGCCTGTACTGCAAAGGGCCCACCCTCCAAAAGATAATTCTGGGTTTTTGTGAGCCCCTCTCGTATTGTGCCTTCTCTTACTGTGGATGACCTGTCTGTGCTCCTGAGAGAGGCCAACTCTTCCACCTACGCTATGATTTTAATCTCTTGCCTACTCCAGGACATTGCTCCATCCGGTCTCCCCTCTTCTCATAATTTTCCTTCCCTACCAGCTCATTTCCATATGAAGATGCGACCACTTCTGTTATCTTAATATTCAAAACCAGAAACCTTCCTTGACGGCATGACACCCTCTAGCTAGCTGTCTTGTACAGCACTGGCTCTTTTTTTTTTTTCCTGAGTTGGAGTCTCACTCTGTCGCCCAGACTGGAGTGCAGTGGCCACTCCCAGCCACTGCAGCCTCGACCTGCTGGGCTCTGGCGATCCTTCCACCTCAGTCTTCCAAGTAGCTGGAACTACAGGCGCGCTACCACGCCCAGCTAATTTTTTTTTTTAATTTATTTATTGTAGAGATGAGGTCTCACCAGGTTGCCCAGGTGGGTCTTGAACCCGCGGGCTCAGGCAATCCACTCACCTCAGCATCCCAAAGTGCAGGATTACAGGCTGAGCCACTGAGCCCGGCTGAGCACTGGCTTTTGTTTACTGGCTTCTCATCTCTCTGGCCTCTGAATGCTAAAGTGTCCCAGGGCTCAGTCGTCTCCATGCCTGCTCTCTTAGGGATTTTCATCTAGGTTTACTGTTTGTTTTTGAGTCAGAGTCTCACCCAGGCTAGAGTGCAGTGGCACGCTCACCACCACCCCAGCCTCAACCTGCTGGGCTCAGGCGATCCTTCTGCCTCAGCCTTCCAAGCAACCAGAACTACAGGCACGAGCTACTATACCTGGACAATTTTTTTGATATCCTGTAGAAACGAGGTCTTGCCAAGTTGCCCAGGCTGGTCTCCAACTACCAGGCTTAGGCAATCCTCTCACTTCCGCTTCCCAAAGTGCTGGGGTTACAGGCCTGAGCTACTGCACCTGGCCAGGTTTTAACTTCTGATGAGCTATATTTTACTCTCTATTTACTTGTTTTTTCCGTATAAAAATATATTCTCCTTGTCTCTGCACAGTGGCTCACGCCTGTAATCCCAGCACTTTGGGAGGCTGAGGCAGGAGCATCGCTTTAGGCCAGGAGTTTGAGATCGGCCTGGGCAACGTAGTGAGACCCTGTTTCTACAAACAAAAAAAAATTTTTTTTAATTTAGCTGGGTATAGTGGCGTGCACCAATAGTCTTAGCTACTCAGGAGGCTGAGGTGGGAGGATCGCTAGAGCCCAAGAGTTCAAGGCTGCAATGAGCTATGAGCGGCCTCAAACTTCTAGGTGCAAACGATCCTCCCATCTCAGTCTCCCGAGTCGCTGGGACTCCAGGCACCGGCCACCACACCCGGCTTACTCGTCGATTGATGGATGCGGAGAGAAGGGCCCCACTGTGTTGCCCAGCTGGTCTCGTGCTCCGGCCTCCAAAAGGCTGGTCTTACAGGCGCGAGCCGCCCGAGCGGCCTTCCCGCCTCACCTTTCAGCGCCTCCTGGACGTACTTCTCCAGGTAGTACTTCCGCAGCTGGTCGTCCTCCAGGGACGGGTCGTCGACGCCGTTGGCCGTGAGGTACACGTCCACGTCGCCGTAGTTGTCCCGCACCCAGCGCAGCAGCCTGCGCTGCCCCCAGGGGACCACGGCCAGGCGGGTGGGGGAGCCCAGGCGCGT